AATATTTTCCAAAGCATGTTGCAAGTGGAGGTAAGTAAATCAGATAGCACACTGCACATTTTTCAAGGAAAAAGTTTCTAGAAATGAGTCAGGATTTAATAAAAAATGTCTCTGAGGTACGTAAGTCATGCCCATAATAGAATATTTTTCAATTTTCAGCCCTGTATACAGCATTTTAAACCACTAACAGATGTATGAAATAAGAAGCAAAACTGTCCCTTATTCTCTGCTGTGCACACACATAGACAGACACATGGAAACCAATGGGAGGCTCTTAAACATTTTCCACGAGAAAGACAATTTGCTCACAATTCCTTCTCCCTTTAAATTGTTTCTGTGGCAACACATCTGGTGCTGTAATTCTGGGCCAGACCATTAACTATCCTGAAAGAAGAAAGTTATGTTGTTGTTCTGGTCTGCAGGAACGTGAAGCAGAGAGAGATCTGTGAACACACGTAATCGGGTCACCCTTATTGCCTTCACAGGCTCACAGAATATCAGCTACAGACATTTATGCATAGCTTAAAATTACAAGTTTTAAAACATTTCAACAAGGGTTAGAGAAAACTCTCATGGCAAACACGCTGTCTATAAGCCAGGGTTCTTTCAATAAAATGATGAGTGCTCTGCTACTGCTGTTCCTACCATGTGAGATAAGTGAGGGAAATATTCAGCTGAGAGGACCAAGGTTCATTCCCTAATCATAAACATAACTCTCCCTATGGAATGGAGAAAGATTGATGCTGATTTCTTATCATCCCCCAGCACTACGTAAACACTGCTGGATTATCACCATTTTACAGACGGTATTTCAGGAGCACAGAATGCCTGGAGTGTCTGGTAAACTCAGCTGCCCCTGTGGAGAGTCACCCCTCCCAGAATCATGGAATCACTGAGGCTGGAAAAGCCTTCCCAGACCACTGAGTCCAAGCTGTGCCCGATCCCCACCTTGTCACCCAGCCCAGAGCACTGAGTGCCACATCCTTGGAAACCTCCAGGGATGGGGACTCCACCACCTCCCTGGGCAGCCCCTTCCAATGCCTGGACATCATTTCCATGGAGAAATTCTTCCCAAAATATGCAGCCCTGGACTCTGAAAGCACTTGAGGACCAATAGATTTTACTGGCCTTACTTCAAATTATAGGAACCTATGGATGTTTGATGTAAGTCTTGGACATCCCAGCTTGAGCACATCAGCAATCTCAGGATGTGTCATCTGAACAACTTAGTTGTAGAGACAGGAAAGAAAAACAAGAATAAAAGCTTACAGCCCCAATTCAGCTTGCTAAGTCAACAAATGAACAGGTTTTTAATCCCTAATAATTCTGAAAAGTCAGTCTCAACTCTTAAATCACACTGCATGACTATAATCCAATGCAAGTTATTATGGCTATTTTACCATGCAACTGAGACTGACATCTCAAAATATAAACTCTGTCATGGACATAATTCATAATCCAAGGGCCAGGGCAATTTCCAAGGGCTGCAGCATTCCCTGAACTCAGCCTGTAGCAACAAGAGTTAAAAAAATAATGGAAGTGGATTTTTGCTACTTCATCAAGCAGATGAATTCATGGAAAGAACATATCTGATGAATAACAAAGTATCACTGACACAGTTACTTTTCCAATAATAATTGCACTTTAAGTTCTCCATAAAACAATTTTTATTATTTAATTTGAAACAGCTAAATTCAAATCTAGAGCAGTTACATATAAATCTGTTTGCTAACTGCACTTAAAGTATTTCTGTATTAGTGACAAAGAACACAACATCATCTTGGTGTTCTGACCTTCTAAATTACTAATGATTAAATGCCTTGATTGGCTGAAAACCAAGTTTTGCCCTAAAAAGTTGAATTGAATAAAAATTATGGTTTTCAGCCACTCTGTCTTTGAAGACATACTGGTTTAAAGCAGTCTGTCCTCAGGGAGAATAAACTGGCAACAGAAATGGAAAAGTTGAAAAAAGTGGATAAAACCTGGTATTTCATAAATATGTATGTCCCTTTGGTGCTTCCGGAGGCAGCATCTGAGGATGGGAGTCGAAGCCAGGGCCTGAGCACCTGTAGCCATTAAAGGCTGGCTGATGGCCCTTGCACGACTTGCTGTCTGTATAGTTTTGGATTGTCACCAGCCAATCACCTTCCAAAAATCCAGTTCTGGGCAATAACAGTCTGGATAATTCAGCTCTGTCTGTTCCCTCTTTCTCAGCCTTTTGGCTAAGATCAAGAGTGCAGATTTAACTAATATTAAACCTACTATTATACATAAAATATCTCCTTCACTTCCAGTCTATTTATTTCATCCAAATGAAACAAATTAATAAGCCTTCTGAGACAGTTCTCCGTCCCTTGATTTGTCTTGTATAACCTCCTATAGCTATAGCCAGAACCTCTGTTTTGTCCTGCTGCTCTGTAACTCCACATTATCACTCCTCAAACCCCTGAGAAAGACACACAGTAAGATCATAATTTTCCCCTCCCCACAGACTGAGTCTGGTTTCCCTTTCTGGCCATAGTGGCTCTATTCCACTTCTGAGGCTCTTTATGAGGATATTGCAAAGGAATATTTGTGAAGGAATTAGCTGTGGAAGGCAATAAAGTGCTGTTGGTAGATGTGATATTACAGGGTCCCAACTCCCTGCCTGGATTGCTCCTAAGAAACCTAGGGCTAGAGAGAACATTGTGGAGCGATTGTACAGCTGCTCTTTGTCTTGACAGAAGGAAATCATCTCATCTTTACACTACCCTTTGGGGAATGCCATTACATAACTCACTGTTTGGCCCATATCTCCATGGTTCTGGCTCTGTGCTCTTAACAGAAACACCACTGCTCCCCTGCAGCTCCTGACTGACTCCAGTGGAGCACCAGACCGGGATGCAGGACCTGTCACCTCAAGGAAGCCCTTTCATTCCTCTGAAGAGTATCCAGACTCTAACTGCAGGAAAATTTTACCAAGCTAGTTGTTCACTACCAGATCACACGTGTTGGATCTCACATGTCTCTCTCCAGACATGGGGCACAAAGAGGCTGGACCTGCCACTCAATGGCAGCTCCAGCCCATTTTGGCAGGTTTTGTGCAGCTTTTCCTGCACTAATACATGTGGTGCTTATGTCACTCACTCTGCAGAATTCAGAGAAGAAGCATGGAAGGGATCAACTGCACTACAGAGGAACACAACAGAGAAGGAGTTTCGCATATACACGTTCCTTTAGCCACTGCATCTCTCTCAGATGTACCTCTCCACTCGAGTATATGCACTGCACCTCATCAATAGGTGTAGCTCCCATTTTACAGCTGTGAAAACACAGGTATAGACGGATTAGGTCTTAATCCCAACAAAGGAAATGACTGAATCAGGAGTCTGAGTGCTGGTGCTGGTTCAACACTAAAGAAATGGCTCAAGAAATATGTAACCTTATTTTTCAAATTCCTTCAAGTTTCTTTGGTCGATGAACAACTCTATTTCCATATGGCCCAACTTATTTAAAACACTTTTTAAAAGGGGAAATTAAACTCTGTGTGAATCAAAATGTAACTGGGCTGTGACCCAAACCCTCAATTCGTATTTATGAGCAAATAAAACGCAAACTCCGCACAGACAAAAAGAGTTAACTAAAATACAACCAGCCCATGCAATGACACCTCCAAAACACAAAGCCTACAGGATGGCATTGTCCTGCTGCTCTCACTGTTCCACCTGTTCCAGCCAGGTGCTCCCCGGTTGTTTCCTGGTGTGAACAGCTTTACCCTGGATAAAAAGCTACCAAACTTCTTTGTGCCGGTGCAGTCTTTGTAGGAATATCGGCATCCTTTGCAGCTTGTCCACTTACAGATGCCTGCAGACTCCTCAGGAGACCACCTGCCCAAAAGGTGGTTGCATCCCCCCACAGGTGACAGACATGTCTTCCTATAGGCGACTGCGCATCCCCCCCATAGGTGACTGGCATGCCCCTCCATAGGTGACTGTATCCTCCCCACAGCCCCCCCATAGGTGCCTGCCCTGTCCCCTCTCGGTCCCCCACAGCTCTTACCTACCGAGACCGAGCCGATGTCCCCGCGCTGCCCTGCACGTCCCGGACCCGCGTCCCGGTGCCGGGTGCCCGGACGGCTCTCCCGCCGTGCCCCTGCCCCGTTCCCGGTGCCCCCCTCACCAGGTGCGTCCTACCTGCGCTGCCGGCGGGCGCGGAGCGCGGCTCGGCTCCGCTGCCGCCGCGGCTGTCGCGGCTGTCGCGGAGTGGCCGGGCCCGCCGGGACGGCCCCGATACCGCCGCTTATCGCCGCCGCCTGTCGCCCAGCTGGGCTCCGCTTCCAGGAAGCCGCGGCTTCGGAGCGCTTGTTTGCCGCTGGATGCCGATGGCCCCGTCCCGCTCGCTGCCTCTGCCTTCCTCCTTCCTTCCCTCCTTCCCTCCCTCTCTCCCTCCCTCCCTCCCTCCCTCCGACCCCCCTCATCCTGGCAGGGGGGCTGGGAACGCGCCGCGCGGCTCCAGCACATGCCGAGCCGGCGGTCACGGCCCGGACCCTCTGCTATTAATCAGGAGCATCCCAGGCGCCCTCCCGCTCGCTCCAGCTGTTCCACTCCGGGCCCCACAGCGCCGCAGGGCAACAACAAACCGGCATCACACGCGGGGACACTCGACCCTGTCCTCCCGCCGTTAATTCCTCTGTTCCCCTGCCCCCCAACTCTTACGCCTTCACTTCTTCTCAGGCCTTTTCTCCCGTGCCCAGATTCCCGCCTTTCCCATCTGCCCATCCATTGCTCACTCCTCCTCTGCCCTTACCCCACGCTCTCTTCACTATCCCTTTAAAGGTTCCCTCCCCTTACAGCCGTCAGTCATACAACCCTAATCATCATCTCTCGTTTTCCTTCTGCCTCCTCCCTCTCGCCATCCTACCCTCCCAGAGGTTTTCTAGGACTGAAGAGATGTAATTTGCTCTCTTATTTTTTGTTGACCAAAGCCTGCTCTGAGTCCTTCCTGCTGCACCCACTACTGACCTCCTTCTCGCTTCTGCAGGCAGGTACTGTTCCTCGGGAATGGGCTGCCTTCTGCTGGCTTTCTAGACACCTTCCAGGCAATCCTGGCAAAAAGAGGTAAAGCTGTGATATAGAAAGCAGGCTGGAATCTCCCCATTCCTCATCTCCCCACAGGCACCCCCCCATTCACACCTCTCTCCTGAACAGTACTTTGTCAGAACACCTCACACAAACACGTCCCTGCCCTGGGCAGAGCACCCCGGGTTACACTGTGGCTCATCCATTTCCATCTTCCCCTGGTTTTTAGCACCACTTCCCCATGCTGACTGACTGACAGCACAGGAAGCCAGAGACTCCCCACGGGAAAAATGAGCTGACTGTGTGGAATTCGGACGTGCCCTTACAATAACTTATTACTAATAGTGTTTGCTCCCCCTTTGACCATGCTCTGCAACACCCAGGACACACAGCAGACTGTCCCATCCTGTTTCAGGAGGATAAAACACAAAACTGAAGTTCTCAAAGCACCAGTTGACCGGAGACCCCATCCAAGAACCTGTTAGGGCAGAGCTACCACTTTGTTTTGCGGTACTTTATGAAGTTGATCAGGATTTATATTTTTCTGTGCACATGCTTAAAGGAAAGTCTTGAAAGAGGCAAGGGGAGATCTTTTGCACAGCTGAACGTGTTTTTAAGGAGATGCATGAGGGAACCGACACAGATGAAAGGGAGAGCAATAAGAGACAAAAACAGATGGGCTGATGGAGTTGGCTGAGTCAACGACTCAGACGCTTTGGGTTTTATATATATTAGAAAGAACCGTGCTGAGATGCAGTAACAGTGGGTTTCATACCTCATCTTGAAACTGGCTGGGGCCTGGAGCACTGGAAATGGCAGTGGTGATCCACCATGGACACAAGAGCTGGTGTACCTAGGAAAACAAATGAGATACTCTAATAATTGTAACTCTACTAACTCTTATCTTGATTTTCCCAGTATTTGGGGTTTTTAGGATCAGTCACACTGACTGCTTGAAGAATCCCTGCTTGAAGATCCCCTGGCAATTATAACTGCAGCAGCTACATGTCCTGCCACTCTGCTCAGGTTTTCCAGCCCCATAAGATAGTCAGCAATGGGTGTGTGCTCAGCCCCAACCGAGCAGTGTCAGAGCAGCTCCTGCAGCACAGCACTGCACTGAACACGGGCTGGGAGCTGCAGCAGTTCCCTGTCTCCATGTGCCAGCCCCACAGAGGGTGGGGCACTCTGGGACTAGTTTAAATCAACTTAACTGGATTTGCAGGAGGACATTTGTCAGAACACCAAATCTCTGCAGGAGCCCCATGCAACCAGTTGACCAAAAAGCCTTTACTGTTACTCTCATTTCCTCCTGAACATGAGACTTGTAACAAATTCACAGACCAGACCCTCAGCTGACACAAATGACCACGGCTTCCTCACTCCCAGTGCAGATGTCCCCACTTACTTCAGCTAAAGATCGGCTTTATGTGGTTTTATTCCAGTTTATTTTTTATGATCTTCATTTGCTGTGTCTTCATCTGGTGTGTTTATGTGGCTGGTGCTTGGTTTTCATTATTTTTAACTGTATTTCAGATCATTTGCTCTATGGTTTTGTTCACATTCTCCTTTTCCATGAAATTCTAATAAAACACTTGGCTACAGATTTTCCAAATTGAATACTGATGTTCAGTGCAGATAATTATGTAGAAGGGTTCAAAGTGAGTTCTATAATGTAACAATTTACATATTCTTGAAAACAATGGACACAAACCTACAAATTATTGTTACAAGCTAGTTTCACATTCTTCTGGAATTTCCTTTAGAAATGCATATGTTTAGTATTCTCACGCATATGAAAAGCAGTAAATACTGCATTGCTGGCACCATTATAATATTTACAATGAAAAAATAAAACACACTCTGATGTCTCTCAGAACTCAAGGGACACAAAAAAAAAATGCCAGTACATTTCCTCCAGAATCTCAAAGCACTTCACAAAAGCCTTTCACAAATTCAGCCATTCAACATCCATCAATATATGCCAACGATATACAAAGATCATTCCACAACAAAGCATTCAGGATGGTTGCAACAGCATTACACATTCAGTGTTTCAGCATCACCAGCGTCCTGGCATAATCAGATTAATCATTATTTTATTGTTTAAGTACTGAATTAAGTAGTTTTTGTTTGCTTTCTAAATGGACCGATTTACAGGCAGCAAACCCTGTGAGCAGACCAGACCAGCCTTCTCAGGAACATCCAGACTAAACTGACTTTCAGAAAGGCTGCTATAAACCATAACTCTGTTTATAAAAGCAATAGCTAATAACTCAGTAGTTGGGCCTATTATTGTGATCCTTTGCACCAGGCTGGCTTGGAGAGACAATAATTCTTCTTGCAGCTCCTAATGCAAGCAATATGTATGCAAACATTTGCCTGTGTCTCCACCCCACCCTTTTCTATTTTGTATTTTTTAATTTTAGAACGCTGGTTAAATGTTAATAATATGAAGTAATCTGCACAGAAGTGGATTATCTCTCAGTCTACCAATATACTGACCAGGCATTTTCATTACTGTAACACGACAAACTTCAGAGCACGTTACAAACCCGTCCCTGCACAGAGCATTTGCTCCCAGTTTGTGAGGGTGTGTTAAGAGTGAGCCTAAACTGTAAATACACACATCCAGAATTACAAGCACATGATTATTTTTCCTTCTTTGTGCATCTATCTGTGCTGGAGTTTATAGTTCATAACTCAGAAGACATACTAAGAGAAGAGCCAACAGAAGCAAAGAATATCTTCTAAAAGCTGAACACACTGGGACAGTGGCTGAAATCACTGGATTCAATATTTCCAAATGTGACATAAATAGAAAAATCAAATTGCTTTTCTAGTTCCCTTGGCTTGTACTTTTCTAGTTTTACTTATTACCACTGCACCAGTACTATCTGGTTAATAAACAGTGGCACTTTATTACATGAATGTATATATGCCTGCCTGTTCATACTCTGTAGTCATTTCAGCAAAGAGTCAATGACAAATCAAACAAATCAAATGAGTGTGTCCTATCCCTGGAATTGTTCAAGGCCAGGCTGGACAGGGCTTGGAGCAACCTGGTCTAGTGGAAGGTGTCCCTGCCCATGGCAGGGGGTGGAACTGGGTGATCTTTAGGATCCCTTCCAACCCAGACCATTCTGTGATTCCGTGAATAATATACTAAACCCCAGCAAGATTAATTTTATATGTCCATTATAAATCCAGGTACGGTTATGAATGTAGGTGTTGTGCTGGACGCACTGCGGTCCAGCCAAGGCCGCTGCCTTAATTAACGGCTCTCATTAATGGCCGTCGCTGCGGTCACACCGCTCCGGACAGCGCGGGCACAGCACCCTCTGCCGGCAGCGACTCCCGCAGCACCAAGGACGGGCAGTCGCGACAGTCGCGACACAGCCTCCCACGTGCGATGGGAGCGGACAATCCCCACGGGATTCCCTTCCCTGGTGCCGGATCCCCCTCCGGCAGAGACCTAAAGCAGTCCGGTCTGCGCTGCCCCACGGGCACCGCGGTGCTTCCAGCACTGGCCTTTGAGCCTGTGTGAGCACCCCCGGGTGACTCGGGGATCATCCAATGATAATTCAATCTCAGCAAGCAATAATTCGTTGTTCTATGAAAAGGTATCGTTATTTTTGCAACTAGATGCTGAAATCATTCGCAAAATTAATTCATTGTCTCACAGTCAGACCAGGGAACAGGCCCTGCCATGACCTTCCTTCACGTGTTTCTGTCAGAGCAGTTTGACAGCACAAACCTGTTCGTAGCACTCTGACAGAAGGAACACATAGAAAAGCTCAGGAAAAGGAAGTCAAATGCTAGATTTCTTGAACAGTACCTGCCAAAGCAGGGGGCAGGAGGAACTTGCCTATGAGTGAGCTACAAACTCATTAAGCGATGTCAAAATAACACTAAGTGTTCAAACATCACACCTGGAGGACACCAGACAAGACTGTCCAATCCCACTGAGCAGCAAGGGAATGTGCAGCTCGAGCTGTGTGTTTATAAAAGGTTAAACTGTTAGAGTCCATAGTGGTTTGTTCACTTTAAAGCTCAAATGTTATCCTTCTTTGAGAGGAAATTACCTTGAACAACAAAGCCTAGTAATTTGCTTTCCAAGCATACTGTATGTAGTCACAAATAATGTTAAGATCTATCAACCACCATTCTGTGTAAAAACATTGCTTTGGAGCAAAAGGCACAAGTACTCATTATTCAGCAGATGGCACCTAATATCTTACTTATTTCAGGTTAAGCCACTAGCAGAGGGCATAGTTTTCCTCACAAATAGTCATAAAATGGCTTCCAGGCAAGCACAAAAGCAAAGTCTTTACTCCAAAAGGTTTATTAGGCAGAGCTTTTTGTCTAATTCTCTGAGAATAAGACAAAATTTAAATTCCAATCTGTACCAAGAGAAGTTTAAAAGAAATTTTGAAACAATTATTCCTTTGGTTTGCCATATTTTTTTTCCAAATTCTAGCCCTGGAATACTCAGTGAGTAGTGGAAAACCAAACAAGAAATGTTCACAAATTGTTTTGTGGAAAGAAACACTGAAGTTACCTATTGACCTGTACAGCTCAGCACCAGTGTAGCTTCTTCCAAACACTTCAGCCAGAAGAGTTAAATCATTAAACTCTACACACCAGTGCAAGTGTGAGGTGTCAGCTGTGCTCAGTACTGCCCTGTTTAAATAAGGAGGAATTTCAAAGTAATTCACAGTCATTGAGCAGAAATGGATCACTAGATGAAGGGGAAGAAAAAGCTTTAAAAGCCTTTAATTATTTTAGTTAGAAACCTCAGAGAGTACAAATTAATGTATCGGTATCAGCTTTTGACTTGCTAGGAAAGTATTTTCAAAAACCTTCACAAGGTTATCACAACTAAAGCCCCAAACCAAGAACAATCACAGGAATGTTCCAGAGCCCCCCCCAGAGCTGGGACAAACAGCCCATTTTGTAAAGTACCTGCAGCACAGCCTCCTTTGAAGGTCTGATGTTGGAGCCAGATGAAAGTCACCATTCCCATCCAGAATAAAAGGCAAAAATGTCTGCAGAGGTAAGAAAATCAGAAATAATTCAGTGGTTTCTCTCACCTTGGTGTCCCCAATTACTTGGGTATATTGCTGCTAATCATCCCTCCCCACACTATGTTTAATTTATGGGAATATTTTGTGTGAAATAGCGCAAATCAAAGATCTGATTATAATCTAGTGGATCCAACAACCACTCCTCTGAGCTGGCACTGACAGTATAAACAAAGAATAGTTTGTGTTAAACATAAAATCAGCATAAGCCCTGAACTATACAATAAAAGTTTAGGTGGGTCATCAGTACAATCAACATATGCTGACAGAAATTTTCTATGCTTTCTTCTTGCAAGTATTCTATGAACTCCCAGGAGGGTTGTCTGGAATACCATCCCACTTAAACTGTCAGAAGTGTCAAGATGGGAAAGAAGCATCATGATAGAATCTCATTATAGTTCATGGTGGACTTAAGTGATGGAATTTCTACACCAAAACAAACAAAGGAAAAAAAACGGCCTCCCAATCAACTTCCCCAGTTGCTCAGAGATTAGGAAACCCAACCTGTCTTTCAACCTCACAGAAACTGAACGTGCCATGAATAGCTTGATCAGGTCTGAATCACAGGTTGTACAGAACTTGTGACTAAAATAGCTCCATAAACTTGTGTTAGAGCTGGCACGAAGAGCCTGCCTCTCTCCCTACCTTTATCTGAAATCAAATTGTTTATCACATTCCTTCCTCATACGTCAGCTCCTTGTGATGAAAGCCAGGCAGTGATTAATACACTTTATTAGGTTGGTTCCAGTGACTTGAAGTGAATTTGCCCTGCCTCCTTAGGCACGCTCCCACACCCACTGCATGGCACTCCAGCCACGCCAGGAATGCACAATAGAAAACAAATTATCTCGGGCAATACCTCATAAATCTATAGCAATAAAGTCAACTGCACAACGGCTCCCAGCAGAATGCATCTTCAGGAGGTCCTTCCTCCCTCACTCCAAGAGAAAAGAAGCAAATCAGCAGCTTTAAAAACCCAGAGAAGTCGCTGTTCCCTTGTCACTCCCACTCTTCTTCTTGCTTCCTACAGCTCATTAAGCAGAGCTGTAGAAGACAGACATGGAAAGCAGTCCAAACTCTTCAATTTAATAATTACAAAGTGATAGAATAGGAGGTTTTACTCTAGTCCTGCTTACATAGCTGTAGTCTGTCTTCTGTTGCACCAGGATCCCAATTTTATCTAAATTTACAGGCTGAATTCTCTACGTATCCTTTTGCAGTGTAAAACCAAAACATACTGGATAAAGACTTGAATCAGCCTAGACACTGTCTGACAACAAACTATACTTAACTATTAACAATATCCTCTGTGCTAATTACAGCTTGTCTTGGCTCGAGTGATAGCTGCAATTCCTTTGCCTTTGGCATGATGGGATTAAGATGAGCTGTACAAAAACCAGCACCGACTTAAAAGTGATTCAGCACTGGATGTTTTTTATTTAATTACTGATTACCAGCTGAGACTTGAGGACTGACTAGACACTCATGCCTTGCCTCAACTGCAAGGAGTTGTTTGAACGCCCTTCACAGCCGTCCACACAACATCTACACGAGGATACCTCACATGGAGTTCTTTGTTCAGGTTTGCAGATTAGGGAGAGAACTGTAATTCAAAGGTTAGTTGACATACCTTGATTAATCTACATGCTTTCTTCTTGCCAATACACAAGTGGAAACTCATTCTAATTCAGATAACAAAGTGCTTATGGTCCCCCCACTCACTGGTTTTGTCAGTAGCTCTCTCAGGGTGGCTAAACTGACCTCTGTATGAAAATAACTATCAATCTCAGAATTAAACCAGTGAAGGTTGCCTAGGACAACCCCTCTGACATGTTACCAGATCCTGCCATCTTATTTGTGGCTAAAATGAAAACTCCATGAACACCTTTATGCCCAGACAGGCGTACAGCCACATCCGGAGAGGAAGAGTTTAAACCTTCAGCCCCATCAAGACTTATTTTATATAAGTAACACTGGTGCACTTTGTGTGTTAAACCCATAGGATCACAGAATCACTAGGGTTGGAAGTCACCTCCGGAGATCATCCAGTCCATCCCCAACCCCAGATGTCTGAGGGGTTTGGTGTCTTCAGGTCACCTGCCCAGGGGCTCCCGGCCCCGAGGCTGTGGAGCTTCCCAGGGCTGTGGGAGCACTGGGAGGTTCGGGATGGCGGCTCCTCAGGGCTGTGAGAGGGGTTCGGGATGCCGGCTCCTCAGGGCTGTGTGAGGGGTGCGGGATGGCGGCTTCTCAGGGCTGTGTGAGGGGTGCGGGATGGCGGCTCCTCAGGGCTGCGTGAGGGGTGCGGGATGGCGGCTCCTCAGGACTGGGACGTGCGGGATGGCGGCTCCTCAAGACTGTGGGAGCGAGGGCGCAGGAGGCGAGAGGCCCCCGAGGAGAAGACGCGGAGCCAAGCCCCGCTCCAGCCCCGTGCGCGCACAGCCACCACCACCGCGGGCAAAGGTTGCCGGGGCACATCCCGCACCTGCTGCCGGGAGACAACGACGACCCCTCACTCCCCTCCCTCCGCCGCCTCCATCTTGCCCGCGGCGGCAGGTGCGCGGCCCCGCCCCGCGCGCTCCCGCGGAGGCGGCGCAGGCGCGGCCCCGCCCCGCTCCCCGGCAGGTGCCGCCGCCGCGGCCCCGCCCCAGCCCGGCCGCGCTGAGGGCGGAGGCGGCGGAGCGGCCGCGGCTCCGGCTCCCGCTCCTTGGGGGGGGTCTCTCGGCTGGGCCGCGCCGCTGCCCGGCCTGTCCCGTCCCGCAGCGCTGCGGCGAAGCCACGAGCGACAGGAGCGGAGCCACCGACCGCGCGCGGCATGAACCGGGCACAGCGCGGCGCCGCGGGCAGCCGCGGCCTGGGCACCATGGAGGTGAAGAGCAAGGTGGGAGCCGCCGCCGCCGCCTGAGGGCCGCGGGGGATGGGCCGGCCCTGCGGGGCCGTGGGGCCGCGGTGCGGCTGCGAGGGGCAGGGACTGGGGCAGGGACGGGACAGCTGCTGACTCACCTGCCCGAGGCCGCCGGGCACGGCCGGGGCGCTCACGGGCCCCCGCCCCACCTGTCCCTGCGCCGGCCGAGCCCTCGGCCCGGGGCTGCAGAGCCGGGGAAGGCGCCGGTGTCGCTCATGGGGCGCGCTGTCCGCGGGGAGAAAATAGAAGTGGTTTAGCATAAAAGGTGCAGGTCAGGGGAGCCGGCCCTGAGTTCCTGCACAGGCTGAAAAACGTGCAGAGAAATAGGTGCTCGGGGAAAGTTCGGGATAACTGGGCCAAAAGAGGTATTTAGAGTCATAATTCATAAGCTCCAAAAGCCGCTCTCCGTCCGAATTACAATGAGTACGTTTGTTTAATATTTGTTTAACTTGGTGACTGTTTCTGTGGTTCCCTTTTTTCACTTAGTGATTATGTGTTTCTGGACCTCTTTTCTGTGTGTGTGTGTCTGTGGGGTAGAGCATATTTTTCCAGCTTACATGAGAGGTAGAGGTAAGCCCTGGTGAACTTGTCCTAAAGTGGAGTTTGTTGCCTTTTAGAGGCAATCAGAGAGTCCTATGAGTGTTTTATGAGTGTATACCTGTGTGTCACAGAATATATCACCAGTGTCTCGTGGTCAGGGCTTTGCACAAACCTGTAAATTCTCCCATGTGTGTATCCACATCCATTCTATTTTTAATTTTTCCTTTGCTGGTTGTGCAAAGTTTTGCTGAGAAAGCTTTGTTCTAAAAGAAAATAGATTATTTTTGTTTGTTTGTTTTATATTCGAAATAATTTCTTGATGTGTCATTCTGCTGTTAACAATTGTAGAACTGTTGGATGTGGAGTGTCAAGCTGTTAGTTAAATAAACGTTAAAACCTCTTTTTTCGTTTCCCAGGCAAATTGTAAATGCACCCACGTGGGAATGTGTTCTCCACTGGTGGGAACATGGATCTCTTGGGTTTTTTTTATCTGGTGACCAGGCTGTGGTCTGTGTTTTGTACCCTCCTTTCCTGCTAATCAGGTGTTACAGCAGCAGGGGAGGTGAAGCAGTCAGGGCTTGTGCTGTGTGGATTTGTAAGGATAACATTCCAGCGAGTGCTGGAACTTCAGGAAAATGTGTGGCTGGTCTCTACAGCTTGAATGATGTTAACACTATAAAAAAAAGTCACCTTTTCATGTGGACAAAACCAGAAAGCACAGGAATATCTGGTAGCTCTGATTTCAAACACTAATAAAGCACAGCTGGTAGTGTGGTTGGTGAAGCCTTTCATTTTGTTTATGCCTTATGAAGTTGAAAACAATCAGTGTGATATGCTTATAAACCCAAACCACTTTTTCCTCAGCCCAAAACTCTAGGATTACTCCTTCCCCACTGTGTGTTTTCCTTGATTTAAAATACATCTGGGGAATCACCCATGTGATGTTCTTGGTGTTTGTACAGAGAAGTGTAGCTCTAATGAATAGGGACTGTCCCTTAAGTGCATGTTTTGGAGCAGGTTTCAAGGCATTCCTAGAACTACTTGTTGCTAATGCATTATTTAGCAGCACCTCCATTTAATATCGCAGAGGAGTCAGCTTCCTTCTATGAAAATGAGCAATTCTACAGAGAAAGAAGAAAGGCCTGTGTGGGAGGGAGGTGGAGGGAACCCTTCCTGTGGAGTGGCCTGGGCTTTGAAGGCTGATCAGTGATGTACAGCTCTTTATTTAGATATTCCAAATCAATACTTGTGCCCAGCTGACTGGGCTGGGCCAGCACAGCCCAGCTGTGGCCAAAGTTACATGAGCACAATCCTTTTGTTAGTCTAGTTTATTCAGTTTGGGTAACTGCTCTGAACTTGCTCTGGGGATTCCCCATAGCACTTGAATTCCAGTCAGCCCATTTTCTTGTCACAGAAAATAAAATTTTATACCCCCAAACTGGAGTTCCTGGTGATGGTATGGGAGCCTGAAAATAAACTTCTGGTTCTCTAGATGTAAAATTCAGGTTTGCCCTCCTCTCTTCCTTATGGCTTGGAATAATTGGGGGTTTTCTTATCAGAGATGGTCACTGGAGCTTATGTTCTGTCAGTGCTGGAGACTGGCAGTACAGCAGCTTTATGCTGTGTAACAGAGGACTTGAATAAAAGTGTCTCCCATAAGTGAGTCTTAAGTGAGAATCTCGGGTGACTTCCTGGTGTGCTGACACGGCTCTCCTGCCTTTTCCCGGGGGAGTCAGCAGGAGAACAGCACGTGTTTAAGAGCTCAGGTGGCAAGGAGCCTTCTCTGCTTAAGTTACTTTTCCAGTCTTTCATCTCCTCCGAAGTGTAAAGTGCGGGCCTTTTTAATGGGATGGGGTTCAACATCTGATAGAAAATGAAAACATTTCGAGGGGTTAAAATAAACCATGGAATTGCACAGTTTTAGTTTTGTCTTTCATCTGCTGTATGGTGGTATTGAGCACGTGGCAAACTGTGGAAATAAGAGCCCTATTATGAGTCTCTTGGTATTTACACCGACTTTGTATAAAATAACATGGAAAAAATAAAAGTCACGTTTGAAAATCTGGCCCTTCACTTGGTGCGATAAGATTTAAATTTACTCCAAATTGAGGGTGAAGTTGTTGGCTTTTTAAACTTTTATTACTGAATTATGTTTAAACTGTAGTCTTTGAAAGCCAAACGTTTACATTGCTGCCATGTGTGGACAGTTCCTGTGGTGTCCATGCTGCCCATGCTGAGAAAGGATTTGAGAGACAGGATAAAGTCTTTCAGTGATATCACGATTGTGCTGCTTCTGACGTGATGAGAGTTCCTCCTGTGGGCTGGGCCTGCCTTTTTTTGTTGTAGGCAGGTATGAATCATCCCTTCTGCCTTATTGTTAGTTAATGGTACTGTAATTGGAGTATTTCTAGAGGAGGAATGTTCCCAGATAATTCCTTTATTTGAAAGTTTTGGAGGAAGGTGGGGGTGGTGAAGGTGTAGCTTGTTTTGAGTTAACGTGGTGTTAACATGCTAACAACGGGGTCGTTGTCTCCTTATTTCATTCCTTTGTTTGCATGTGAGCACTCCAAAGCTTTTATTCTCCAAAAGATTGTAATCAAATGTGAGGTGAAGGTTGGGCTGGAGGGTGGTAAGTGCACCTTCACATCTGCTGTGTGAACACACACCTGAGGATGTGATACTGAGGCGTTCTGCTCTTGCTAGAAAATTATTTAAAGTTTTTATTTTCACTGTAGGGCAGCAGTATAATTCACCAGAAAAAAAAAAGCCACCGAGTTTTTTTATTTATTAGCTTATTACCCTTTTAACTCATATACAAGCTGTTCTGCTTTTTGTAACCTGGCTGCTGCTATCTCTGAATTCCTTTCAGCATCTCTGGTATGTGTTGTGTGCCTGATACGGAGGTTTTGGAGTAATTTTTGTCCAGTACTCTGTTTGCTTTGCCCTTGCTGGGCAGAACACTAAGATTTTATTGGTTATGTGTGCTGAAATTAAATTTGTCTAGTCTACATTAAATGCTTATTCTTTTATTGGCACCCAGTTTAGTTTTATACCTGTCCCCATTGGTAGCCTCGTGTTTTAATGAGTGTTTGCTTTATAGATGACTTAGGAGACTGAGCTTGAGTGGACTTGTGAGCTGGGTATGGGTTGAATGATTATATTGACTAAATGCAGATCCTACCCCTGAAAGTAATTAGTAATAAGTCAGTGATTAAGCTTTCGTTCATATTTTCTGAGTATTTTCATATACCCTGGATAGAACCATGATTTAAAAGATCATGCAATCAAAATTTGAGTCTTGATAATGGAAGTGAATCTTCTGAATGCTTTATGGGTAGTGGCTGGTTGCGTCTGTTCTCTCTCTCTCAAGAGCAGAATTGGCTTGAGCTCAGCTCACTAAAGCTTTGCTGCACGTGGTTTGTTCTTGGTAGTCCTCACGTCAGAGGCATTTTCATTTCTTGGCCAAACAATTGGGAGTCTGAAGGCTGTTCATTCTTGTGGAGGTGAACCGTGGCTGTGTCACAATCTATACACTCTGTTCTCAAGTGCACTCGTAGTTCTTTGAGAAAAATTCCAGGTATTCACATAGCACAGGAGGTTAATCACCGTCCTGTTTGAGTCACCACTTCGGTGCTGACTGTGAATTCTGGTGCTCAGTGAGAGCAGCTGTTTCAGCAGCATGTGAGAATGTGCATTATCCTTAAGTTTGTCAC